TAGATTCTGGCTCTGTCAGCGTGTTTCTGCTCTTCGGCCTGTCATTTAATCTGTGTGGATACAATTTTCTTGTTTATAAAATGAGGTTAACAAGCCAATTTTAAAGGTTTCTTTGAGTTCTGAATGTTCCTATTCCCTGACAGCAGGTGGTTTATGTCTTTCAGAATATTGTTTTTTTGTTGCTATTGTCACTGCAGCATATCCTAAGCCTATCCTGATTGATGTCTTAATCTGCATGTGGTACTTTCTAGAGCTTTATATGTTTTAACTAATTTAATTGTCATTTAATCCTCATTAAATGACTTATCATCATTATATTTAATGATTCCAAGGTAGTAGGAATTAATACTCTCCTCCTTATACAAATGAGAAAACTGAGGCACAGAAAGGCCATCAATTTCTATGTATTATTGCTCTTACTGTATTTTATAATTGAAATTGTCTATTTTAAATATGTAATGGAGATGAAAATCTGGTAAATGATTTTTTTTTAAAGAGATGGAGTCTCCCTATGTTGCCTAGGCTGGTCTTGAACTCATGGGCTCAAGTGATACTCCTGCCTCAGCCTCCTGAGTAGCTGGGACTATAGGCATATGCCACTGTGCCCAGCTTGGTAAATGATTTTTGAAACTTGATTGAGTTGAATTGCTAAAAAGTAGAACAATGAGAAAGAATAGAGTGGGAGGGGTAGAGAGGAAGGGAATGGAAGGATGGATAATATTACTTCATATCCCCTCCCTGTCTTCAAGTAAGTAAAGCAGAAGAATGATTAAGGATCTACAAGTTATGTATTTTCCTGAAAAACCCCTTTTGTAGGAACAAGATTCCTATATTATTTTGAATATCTTAAAATTAAAAGAAAATGAAAACTAAATATAAACATGGATTAGAGAAAATTTTGAACACTAAATTTTATGCTGATTATGAGACTGCTTTGTCATGCTGAAGTCATTTAGTAACTAACAATGTGATCACCTGAAATACAGATTTTGCTTCTTAATAAATGTACAGCCTGCAAACATCCGTTACAACCATGCTGTTTCTCGTTAGGATGGCTAATTCTTTCTTTTTAAATAGATATGGGGTCTTGCTACATTGCCCAGGTTGGTCTTGAGCTCCTGGCCTCAAGTGATCCTCCCATCTTGATCTCCCAAAGTGCTGGGATTACAGGTATGATCCACTGTGCCCAGCCAAGATGGCTAATTCTTATTTTTGAGAATTTCTGTATCTGATATAAATGCCTACCTGTCTGCTTTTACTACCTCTCACATCCCCATTCTTTTTTCCAGCTATCTTAAAGTATTTGTGCCAATTCAGAGGCCAATCATGTCATGGTTTAAACATGGGCATTGGGCTCAAAGTGTCTGGATGAACACCTGTGGCTGTGCCACTTACCTAGCTGGTTGACCGTGAGCAGGTTACTTAAGTACTTTGTGTCCCCATTTTCTTACACATTAAGTGGAGATCATAACCGTTGCTACCTTTTAGGGTAGTTCTGAGGATTAAGACACTGTAGGACCATGCATGGCATTTGGTATTATCAGTAATATCTAGATTTTTGCTTTTACTGTCTCTTAACAGATCCGGCCTGTCTTTACCTCTTGGCTTTTACAGCTTCTCTTCTCTTTTCATCATTCTTCACAGGGATGCTCACATTTCCACTTGTTTTGAGATGTTTCCCTACATGGCCCTAGCCTGGGTTTCCTCCTCTCTGCACTTCTAGCTACCTGGCTATGATTTCTGTTGTAACCCTTATGACTTAGTGTTACTATTGGTTTACTTGTCCACATCACTGTGAACGTGGACTATTTTTTTCTTTTCTTTTTTTTTTTTCTGTATTTTAAGAGTATGAGGGAGATACTCGGTAACTGTGTATTAAATGGATAAATGGACCAATTTTCCCTCCATTTCTCTCTCCTCCCCTTCTTCTTTCCTGCTTTTCTTCCTTCTTATCTTCCTTTATTTCTTTTTTTTTTTTTTTTTTTTTTTTTGAGACGGAGTTTCGCTCTTGTTACCCAGGCTGGAGTGCAATGGCGCAATCTCGGCTCACCGCAACCTCCGCCTCCTGGGTTCAGGCAATTCTCCTGCCTCAGCCTCCCGAGTAGCTGGGATTACAGGCACGCACCACCGTGCCCAGCTAATTTTTTGTATTTTTAGTAGAGACGGGATTTCACCATGTTGACCAGGATGATCTCGATCTCTTGACCTCGTGATCCACCCGTCTCGGCCTCCCAAAGTGCTGGGATTACACGCTTGAGCCACCGTGCCCGGCCATCTTCCTTTATTTCTATTATCCTTCCACCTTCTTGTTGCTCTCAAACCTGGCACTTGCCACCTTATCTTCATTATTGCTCACAGGAACCCTATGGTAGGCATTATGGTGATTCCCCATTGTGTAGATGTGGGGACAAAGGATCAGAGCAATAGGCAATGTATACATTCAAAGGAGCAGCTCCCTCACAGAGGTGTCCTTCCAATGTTGCTGTTTCTGTTCAAAGCATTTGGCAGTTTTTCTTTGGAATTCCCTTCTGGCTGGTTTACGAATTGTAAGAAAACCAATCTTATTTTTGGTCACTCTCAGAAAAGATAATTTCCTTTCTGACCATCCCAATTCATGATGTTTGACTCCAGATAAACTTGGATCATCTCAGAAATCGAAGCCACCTTCAAAGGACAAAGATTTGCCATGATCAAGAATATTTAAATGACAGCTGGTTACAGTGGCTCACAACTGTAGTCCCAGCACTTTGGGAGGCTGAGGAAGGTGGATCACTTGAGCTCAGGAGTTTGAGACCCACCTGGGCAACATGGTGATACCTCATCTCTACAAAAAATACAAAAATTAGCTGAGTGTGGTGGCGTGCACCTGTAGTCCCAGCTACTTGGGAGGCTGAGATGGGTCTTGAACCCAGGAGGTAGAGGTTACAGTGAGCCAAGATCATGCCACTGCATTCTAGCCTGGGGGACAGAGTGAGATTCTATCTCAAAAAAAAAAAAATATATGTATGTATATGTATATATACATATATAAAAAATGACTCAAAGACAGTTGCCAAAGCACTCTTTCAAGAGCCTTATCCACAGCTGCATCCCTGGGCTGAAGGCTACAGATACTCCTGTGGACTGTGTTCTAATGTGATTTGAGGATAGCAGGCTGGTGGAGGAAGGTTAGATTACTTTATAGTCCCACTTTATGTTTTTTATGACATCTTTGTTGATATATAATTTATATACATACAATTCACTCATTTACAGTGTGAAATTCATTGGTTTTAGTATAGCCACAAAGTGGTGCAACAGACACCCCTATTTAACTTGAGAACATTTTATCATCTCAGAAGATACCCCACACCCTTTAGAGTCCCCCAATTCTCTCCACACCCCCCAGCAATCAATAATTTATTTTCTGTCTATGAATATGTTTATTCTGGATATACCATCAGTAGAATCATGAAATATGTAGTCTTTTGTGACCGGTTTCTTTCTCAAGGTATAATATTTTCAGGTTTATCCATGTTGTCCTGTATGACAGCACTTCATTCCTTTTTACAGCTGAATAATATTTCATTAAATTGATATACTAGATTTTATTTACCCATTCATCACTTGATTGACAAATGGATTGTTAACACTTGTTGACTAAAATGAATGTTGCTGCTATGAATATTTATGTATGAGTCAGCTGATAAATGGATACATAAAGTATGGTATATTCATTCAATGGAATATTATTCAGCCATAAAAAGGAATGAAGTACAGATACATACTACCACATGGATAAACCTTGGAAACATGCTAAGTGAAGAAAACCACTTATTGAGTGATATTGATATGAAAGGTCCAGAATAGGCATAAAGACAGAAAGTAAATTAGTGGTTACCCCCTGAGGACAGGGAGGGAGATGGGAATTGACTGCTAAGGGCATGAGGTATCTTTTTGAGGTAATGTTCAAAAATGTATTGTGTTGATGATTGCACAACTTTGTATGTTACACTTTACAGAGGAGTATTGTATTAAAAATGTATCATCTCCGTCATTAAGTACATATTAGTTTCTTTCTCTGCATTCAATACCCTGTGAGGCACTGTAGTATACAGATGTGGAGGAGAGTATATGTTCCCTATGCTCTAAGAATTTGTCAATGGACATTCATAATTGGGAATATGAATTGGATACCCAGAAAAAAAATATAATCAAGATAGTGCATCACCCAGTGCTAGTTTCTGGGTTTAGGCCACACTCAGAAAGATCTCAATACCTCTGAGTGTCAGCTATAGGAATTCAGAAAGGTTTCAAAATATTGACTGGTCCAATATTCATATAATTTAGATATAGTATTACCCATGCCTTACAATACTGTGAGTTCCCTGTGGGAGGAGCTATGTCTTATGTCCCTCTTGATTCCTGTGCTTAGCATTGTGTTCATTCCACAAGCAGGATCATATGTTTGGCAAATAAATAGCTGCTGTCTTGGAAGCCTCTTGGCTTGTCCATAGGGATAGAAAAGACTTAAGGCTTGTGGTTGCCTCCTCTGACCAGGCTGGGGGTTTGTCCTATGGGGAAAGGTATTGCTGAATTCACCAACTATCTTCAAGCATGGGTGCCTTTTCTCACATCTGATAACTGTTTTCTTTGTCTGGTGCGTTCACTCTGACATTGCTTAAAATGGTGATCCAAAATAACAGGTGCTTCCCTCTCTGGTAATATGTTCAAGACTTTGGGTTTCTGGGTCAGTGAGATTTAGGAAAACAAAAGTGAAATAAACTCACATTTGGTCTTTGTTTTTTTTTCATGTCTATCAAATGTCAATGCTATAAATTCTGTGTAGCTTATGGGTCTTTGCCGTAATTAGAATTTTTTTTCTTTTTTTTTTCTTCTTTCTTCTGTGAAGGTACTTTATGTTGATTAAGTTCTTTATGTTAAATATCCTTTGCTTGCACTGAACTTTTCTTTGTGTTGATTTTTTGCTTCAATTTTTTTTCATTTCCCATGCTGTTCAGTTACTGGATGCCAGAAGAACCAAGGTTTGTCCACTCTTTGCAGCTTGTTTGTTCTGCTGTGCACAGCCTCACCTCCTTGCGTGTTTGAGTGTGTTTGTCTGTGCCTGCATTTATTCCCTTTTGCTTGCAGATGCAGTAATCCTGTTTACTAAACCTGTTCACAGCTTGATTTGTAAAAAATAAAGTCCTTGTTTGTGTCTACTTGTAGTGGATGCTATTATTTTCATTTTTAAATCAACACACATTGATCGTGGAAAATAATGGATAGTACAATAAAGAATACCTTAGGAAACAAGGAATACTGAGTCTGGAGCGTTCTGGGCATAAAAAAGGTGTGTTTGTGAAAGTTTCCCTCTAACCTTTTCCACTTCCTAAATTAAAACGCTGTAGATGTATAATTTCCCTTGTGATTGACACTAATCTATTGTTTCTGTGTCTGTGTGCATTTCTCTTCTCCCAAGACATTCAGAAAGCATCACTGAATTAATCTACCCCTCTCCATATGCTGTCCCATGCTTCTGAAGTCACCGTGAAGGAATTCATGGCTGGCCCTCCGGACCTCATGATTAACATTCCATCTTCATAGTGTGGTGGCAGCAAATGGAACCTGACATTTTCATTGACTTTTTTTTTCTTCTGTCTCCTCTCCCACTCCATCTTTCTCATTGCAGCACCTACAGTTGACAATCCAGGCCCTTCAAGATGAGCTGCGAACCCAGAGAGACCTCAACCACCTCCTTCAGCAAGAGAGTGGCAACCGAGGAGCAGAGCACTTCACCATCGAGCTGACTGAGGAGAACTTCAGGCGGCTCCAAGCCGAACATGACAGGCAGGCTAAGGAGCTGTTCCTTTTGAGAAAGACATTAGAGGAAATGGAGCTGAGAATTGAAACACAGAAACAAACCCTCAACGCCCGAGATGAGTCGATTAAAAAACTTCTTGAGATGTTGCAAAGTAAAGGCTTGCCGTCCAAAAGCCTGGAGGATGACAATGAGCGAACGCGGAGGATGGCAGAGGCTGAGTCTCAGGTCAGCCACTTGGAAGTGATTTTAGACCAGAAAGAGAAGGAAAACATACATCTTAGAGAGGTAAGCGCATTCACTGTATTTTCCCAAAGCCTTAATTTATAAGTGAAAATATGTTATCAAGTTATTTTCACAGGTTGGAAGATAACTACATACTTAAAAATATTCACTTTGTCATCTGCTTTATGACCTTTCTGCCAGCTTAAGACCATTAAAGAGGAATTTTGTATTAGTCTTTGCTCACTGCACATACATTCCATTATTATTCAGCACTTATCCAGGATCCAAGCATATGCAGGACATATCAACTCTAAGGTGGTTTACAATTGCTTTCCCACAGGTGGCTGTGGTTTCAGTCTTTTAGGTATGGTACTATTAAGTTTAGTTGTTTATCAAATATCACCTCTCTAAAGGAAAAAATTGATTAGCAACACAATGACCCTAAATATTTTTATTACTGAATTAGGGATGGGATTTGCAGAAAGTAAAGCATATGGGTGTTTCTGGGAAAGAACGATAAAATGCACAGACCAATTTTGAATGTTTAGGGTTAAGATAATTTTTGTCTGTGTTTACATTCATCCAGGACAGAGTATTACAGGTTTTCTGAGTATGTGTTTTGCTTTTAGTGGATTAAATCATTTGAAGTCCTTCAGAGGCAGTCTCTCTGGCCTTTTACCACCATTCAGTATTGGGATGCTCATGTATCTGAGAATATGTGGTTGGGTAGAGCTTAGAAAAAATGTGGATGACTGCCAAGGTTTGAAATTTTGATAGTAGTTCCTTGCCACTGTGGTGGTTATGGACCTTAAAAGTATCATGCAGACAAAACTGCTGTAGGGAGACATGGATCACAGAGAAAACAGCAAGCAATAAAATGACATTATATGTGTTTTCAAACTATTCTATAGCGATAAACAAAAATTCCAGAAGATATTTGCTTCTAGATAAAACTAGATTTCTTGACATTATACCTGTTCAGATGGCAGTGCTTCTTGTGAGTCACTTGTTTGGTTGGTCAGAAGACATTGCTTCCATCTTGGGATTTGCGAAAATGCAGATGCTCCCAAGAATTTGCTCTGATGTAGATCATATTTGCCTAGAACATATGAGCAGACTTTTGTGTCTGCAAATTTAATGTCCTCTACACTTATTCTTCCTTGTTTTATTTTAATGATATTTTAGCAATATGCTTGGGAAACCACATGGCTTGGTTTCATACTGAAATGCTTAAAGAGATATTTGGTTGGGCCTGGTCTTCCCATCCATCTTCCAAGCGGGTGAATGTGGTAAGCAGAATTCCAAGATGGCCTCCAGTGATCCCTACTGCTTGGAATTCACACACTTATATCGTCCTCTTTCTTTGAGTATTGGTTGATCCTCATAACTTGCTCCTAAATGGTAAAATATGGCAAAAGTCATGGAATATTATGTTGCTTCCATGATTAGGTTACATAAGACTGTGACTTCCATCTTCCTAGCAGACTCTATTGCTTCTTAGCTTGCATGCTTTGATGAAGCAAGCTGCCATGTGGAGAGGTCCATGTGGTAAGGAACTGAGGGTGGCCTCCAGCCAATACCCAGTAAAGAACAGAGGTACTCATTTCAACAACCACTAAGAAGGAAAACTGGTAACAACCATTAAGTGAGCTTGGAAGTGGATACTTCCCCAGTCGGGCCTTCAGATGAGATAACAGGCCCTTGGCTGATATGTTGATTGCAGGCTGTGAGAGACTGAAGCAGAGGGCCCACTTATGCTGTGCCTGGATTCCTGACCCACAGAAACTGTGAGATAATAAATGTGTATTGTTTTAAGCTGCTGAATTTTGAAGTAATTTGTTACACAGCAATAGATAACAAATACAGTAGAGCAGAAAGTAATTTTCTCCATGTCTTATTCATAGACCTCTTATGTAGTTTACAGAAGAGAGGCAATGATTACTGGCATGTTGTTACTTGCATGTAGATTAACTGTGGATTTTGAACTTTTCTTGTGTTATCTCAAAACTGCAGTTGATAGAGGGTCACTGTAGTTGGAAAAAGCTACTGTTTTATTTTGATGCTAAGGGGAGCAAGACTGTGAGGCCAGAGAAATCTCCATCTGCAGCAGCATTTCTCCATCCTTGTTGGGATTTTGTGGTCAGGGTGAAGTCCTTCTTCTGCAGTTAGATTCTGCTTGTTGATAGCACTTACTAGATGGTGCCTTATTTGGCTGCCTCCATTTAAATGAAGTTTAACACAATTACTCTTGGGTTTTCTGAGATTGGCTGGTCCTCACAATGGTCTGGTGTGGATATAGATCATGTTTAGATCCTTAAACACCAGTTTGAAAGCACAAAGAGGGGGGCACAGAAAGCGCACCCCAATACATTCAACTAGTTTCCTTGGGCATCAGACCAAAGTGAGTAGGTAGCCCTTATTTTAGCTCATCAAGAAGGGCAGAATTTGGAAAATATATCTGTACATAAAAAAAAATGTTAAACTTGAACTCAACAAACAAGTCTTCAGTTCTGAAAGGATCATTCCCAAGAGAAAGGTTGTACTGCTTTGTGAGAGCCATTTGTTAAATTCTTAGGAATCTCATGATCCTGGTGTTAAAACCACAGATAGCCTGAAATTGGTCATATTTGGCATATTTACATCATGGAAATTGGAAGATGTTACTCTTAGGGCCTACCTTCCCCATTCCCTTGCCTGTTCCAGAAAGCCTGTTTACTAGCACACCTCTGAATGAATGTCGTGAAATGTTTACTTCTAATACATCAAGAATGCACTGTGGAATCAGAATATTACTTATTGGGAGAATTATGATAATGCATGTATTAACCACTCATAGTTCCTCAAAAATTTTCAGAATAGTATTTGTGTATGTCAGCTTATGTGTTAGGCATCATGAAGAGTGCTTTACACTGATTACATTGAGTCACCTCATACGGAAGATCTGTTTTGGGATATAGCAATAATTAATAAAATTTACCTTCATGGTGCTTATATTCTATTGGAGTAAAATAGATGACAATTTTATGGCTAAATAGAGGCATGTTGTGAAGAAAAGAAGAGAATGAAGCACTAGTGATCTGGGTGGGGCTAATTTTATGTTGGGTTGTCAGCCATGTGAAGGATCTCAGAAGACTATTCCACTCAGATGGAAAGGCCCATGGCCTAGAAGGTAGGTGCTATTACTTTGCCCATTTTACCTGGGAGAACTGAGGGACAAACCCAATGTCACACTGCTAACAAATGGTGAAGCTGGTATTTGAATCAGGCTGACTCTAGAGTCTCAGCTCTTAAACCATTTTACTATGTTGTTCCATATCTTTTCTTTCTTTCTTTTTTTTTTTTTTTTCAAGATGGGGTCTCACTCTGTCACCCAGGTTGGAGTACAGTGGTGCAGTCTTGGCTTACTACAACCTCTACTTCCCAGTTTCAAGTGATCCTCCCACCTCAGCCTCCTGAATAACTGGTACTACAGGCATGTGCCACCATGCCTGGCTATCTTTTTGGCATTTTTGGTAAAGATGGGGTTGCACCATGTTGCCCAGGCTAGTTTTCTGAGCTTAAGCGATCTGCCCACCTCAGCCTCCCAAAGTGTGGGATTACAGGTCTGAGCCACCACTCCTGGCCTATATCCCTATTCTAAAAGAAATCTTTCCCAGATTGTGCTTGGTATAACAGACATTTTGTGGGCTGTTGATATGTGTTATGAGAGAAAAAGGGCTGCAGTGCCAAGTGAACTTGGGGAAATGAAGGATTCCACAGAGTCTCAGTCTCAGTCTTTAATATCCAAATGTGCATTAGTCATTTCTAAGAAGGAGACCAGAGAAGGCAGAGCTTCTCAAACGTACATGACTTGCTTTTCTCTTGTTGCACTGGTGCTCTTTGTAAGACATTTTTGAAAAATGCTATGCTAGAAAATAAAAATACTTTTAATTAATGACCTACAAAATATGTAATAATAGACAAATGGTTTTTTCCCATTTCCAAATAACTGCTTATTTCCTTCATTAGTTATTTTGTAAGGCAAAGTTTATTGCAGGCGATTTCCACATTCTCTGCTGAGTTTTAGAATGTACTTCTTTGTCAGGATATTTTTTTTTTTTAGTAGAAAAATGTGTCTGACCACTTTTGTTATTAAACCAGTAAGAATAACTTAGCTTGAATAAAGAAGTTGCCTGACCTCTGTTAATATAGATGAATCTAAAACAAGATTTAAAATGTACTTGAGGTTTTAACTTCAGTGTGTTCCTGATTTCGTTTTCATTATGCACAGTTTGAGTAGGTTGGGGCTAGGCAGCGTGAGGCTGGGGAATGGAGTGCTAGTGGTTTTATGATTCATTCTCAGGCAGAGGTGGTGGACCTCACATAAACCCCATCTCCTGGCCTTGTTCAGCTTATTGTTTTAGGAGATTTGGAGTTGGCAGGAGTTACATATGGAGTGGGTTGGGTTGCGTTAGTGTCTTATTGTCTTTTGGTGGTCTGGAAAAGGCTGAGTGTGAAACCACTTCTTTGTCTGGCAGGAAACACCAACAGAAAGGTTATGATCTCAACTTATTTGGAAGACCAAAGCCATTGCCCAGGAACTACAACCGATATGTTAATATGAGCTGAAAGGTTGGCCAAAAATCAGCATTACTCACTAGCATTGTCTGATGTATTTGGATACAGGTTGATTTGATAAGACATTGTTTGATGTGATCATAGTTTACCTCATTCTATAGCTTTTTCTGCAAAGAACATATTGTTCCATGTAGAAGTTTTAGTGATGAAGTGTCTGAAAGAAACACTACTAATTTCATTAAAGAAAAGGAAATGGATTAATAGACGAGGATCCTCTTATATTTGCTCTGCTTACTATTTTCTTGACTGGTCCTTAGGAGAGAGTTAGAGGTCTTTGGATTTATCTTGCTGTAACATCTTGATTGGAAGGGATATCTGTTCTGCTGCTAATCTATTGATCTCTTGTGTTAATCCCTTCTGGCAACTTGCCCTTCTTTGGTAGCAGGGCCAGAGGAGCACCTAAGTCCTTGGAGGCCACAGTTGCTGATAACCCAGGACAAGCAAAA